CTTCGGCGTTTTTCGACGTTTTTATTGCCTAATGTCTTAATCTCACTAGCTCTGCAGGGAAAATAAAAGGTTCGAGGTACGCGTAAACACTTCTTATGAGTTGTGAATGCGAAAGCATGTAGGTCGCTCTTCCGCTCCCTTCTTTCGCCTGCGGGGTACGTGCGCAACACCTCTTTGAGCGCGGGCGCTGTCCTCGGCCCTCTGATTTTGGGCGTGGAGCGGTGGAGCCGCTGCCTCGCGGACACGCAGCGCCATGGGGTGGCGGTCGTTGAAACTGACGCGCATTGGCCAACGGGAGCCTTGTCGACGCGCGCCAGCCAATGGGACCGAAACCGAAATCCATCTGCTTTACGATGCTCCTTTGGGATCGGGAAAACTGGGTGCCGTTGTCCAGGCGATTTGTGTGGTTTCGTAGCAGGGAGCACTATTCACTTGGAGAAAGGATTTAAGGTGCCGTTTGGCGCTGCTGCAAAGCTGATAACGTCGGCTTGCTTCATGGGACAGTTAAGGATTTCGCATTAAAATACTCGGGGCTCCTTACGTTCGGTGTTTCTGGAGCTGTGTGCGACTCTACGATGTTACTACTGTACGCAGTCCAAAGCGTTCGAAGGACGTCAGATGATGGTTGAAGCCAGGACTGCGTGCTCAAAAATGGCAGCACTTATATGCTAACCCCCAACCAGTCTTGTACACGTTACCAAAAAAAAAAAAAACGTAACTGATTCCTTCCAGGGTTACTCTTGGTATTCAACTAGAGTACTTGATTTATTGGTGAAAAAAAGGTAAACATCCGTTAACTTAAAAAAAACGTAACCGTAAATTTTCTGCTTATTTCAGATTTTCAAATTGGCAGATTTTTCTGCCAATCTGAAATCTGATCTCTGGTACGGTTTATTATTGGGTTAAAATCACCGAGCTATTAACTACTTATCTTCATAATGCACAAATTTCGGTAAGCCATCCTCTGCGGGGGCTTGGTTCAAATATTCCTGTGTTTGTACAGATGTAGAAACTGAGGGCGTCATTAGAAAGAAAAGATAAAAATGTTAACGGATACAAGTAATTTAGTACTTCCCAAAGTAATTGGATTACTCTAATGACTACTTTAAAAGAAAATATTCAAAGTAACTGAAACATTACTCGAAAGAATGAACGAGTAAATGTAATTTGATTACTTGTAATAAGTAAGAGCAGTGCGATTGTGTTTCTCAAGACACTCGAAACGCCCCTAACTGTCGTGCCTACTCTCACCAACTTCGTCAGTGGGACGGCCGAAAGCTGCCGCGCTTGTCTAAAGCGGCGCACTCTCAGTGAGGGGAAAGGAAAACATTCGTCCTTGTCAGAGTACCGACAACCTTTCATTATGCAGCTGAGGCTACTGTTGGATGCGGGCGATGTGTCGCCATTTTTGACTAATGGCGCGTCTTGCATTCAGATTCGCACGCTCCCATTGGAGTGTGGTGGCCACGCACGACCGGCCGCCATACGAGGGCACGATCTTATTGGTCAGCAGCAGTGACCGCGTTGGTGGTACTTTCATAGCCAATCAAATTCAGCCAGTGCTTTGGTATGAAAGCACAGTGCTTTTTGACTAAAAAAGAAAAGCTGCATGAAAATTAAGAATATCGCCAGTTCCCCTTAATGACTAAGCGTAAAATTAAAAAGCAGTAAATTGCAGTTTTGGCAGGACATCATGCTTGCGTATGTTTATAAAAGTGTATCAGTAACAGAAGACAAAAATCACCTGATCATTTTTTACTAAGCTCACGTTAGAGCTTAGCCAGATGTTGGATGCACTCCGTTCGTTAGTATCCGAGCAGTAAAGTGGTAATTTGGACGAGTTGCTTCATATTCCAAGGTTTAGAAGCGTAAAAAAAAAAAAAAAAGAAACAATAAAAAGAAAAAACGAGCACCGAGATGAGGGAAATTAACACAAAGCACTTATGCTGCGCCTCGCGTTTGTTTGCTCTCCTCAAGGTGCTTTAGTATTTTCATCGCTTTTAAACATTTTAATATCCAGGATATTTCTCACGCTCCAAAGAACGCCTGAACTAATTGCAGCAGGTAGTAAGGACCTGTCCACTTGAATCGTAATATGAGACACTCCTAGCATCAAAACGGTTTTCGTTTGGGAAGATTTAAAAATAAAAACCCCATTAGCGACGCGGCGGTCATATCAAAGACTCGGGTTTTGGTCGAAAACGTTTAGAAGAGCATACATTCCAGCTATTAGACCGGAGGAGGAATCTTTGATCCATCCGTGCGCAATTTTGGCTCTGAGATGAATCGTTACTCTCTCAACATGTACTCCGTGGGCGGTATCTTGTTTTCGTTCAAACATTATATCTTATACACACATTTAGAGAGCGCTCAGGATCAACATTTTACGTTTTTGCCTTTTTTATTTTCACTGAGCCGCTTAATAGGCACTTTGAGCATCGCACGCCATTCCTCCAAGTTATTTTTGTTTTAGTTTTCACTTTAACCAATAGGCAGCGAGTCCTGCATCGAAAATCTGCGGCTTGGGGTATGGCGCCGCTTTAATTTGTTTTGTTTTTCGTGCCTTGATAGATTTGACGCAACTATTCGAAAAGCCGTGTTCTTTCATTGATGTTGACAACGTGACGGGAATAGAGATGGAAAGTAATATAAAGCATACAATTTTTGTTTACGAGTATCATCTACAAATGTTCGGCGAAAATTAGTTTTACAAAAAATATAATAAAACAGATAGTAATGAAGTCGAGCCCGCCAGCAATCGGCTTTCCGGCGGACGTACGTAGGATGTTGTGAATAAACGTTTGTGTTCTTTGTGTATATATGCTTGAAATCCTGCGCGCAGAAATCCAAGTGTCTTGCCATGTTTAATTCAAACTAAAGAAGAGAAAGAAACAAATTTCGAGTACGCCTAAGCACTTTTTATGAGATGTGAATGCGAAAGCATGAATGCCGTTCCACCGCTCCTTTAGTTTGTCTGCGGTGTATGCTAGCGTGGACGGCCACATTTCGCTACCGCCGAGTTTGCGGCCGGGGGCCGAGCGCGCGCTCTCGTGAAGCGGCCGCCAATGGCTATCTAGGAGCCGTTTTGCTCAGCCAATGGGAAAATGGGCATTTCTTTCGCGTTTCCTTGTTGTTACAGACGTCGCCGGCTTCGCTTCATGGGATAGTTTCGCATTAAAAAAAAAAGAAAGAAAAACATAAACCAATTTCTTCGTCAACACAAATCCAGAACATGACATAGTGAATATGCTAGGCAGGAAAATACGTTGTTGTGTTTAAAAGAAATAACTCCCACCATTTTTTTATGCGCATGCGATCAGCAATGTCAATAAGCCCATAGTATGTAAGCTAACAATCGCAGTCGGCTCAGTCGCCAGTTCATTCATATCTTACATTTTTTTTTACAAACAAGCAAGCACCAAATGAACTGGCGATTATTTGTTTGCCTACCTCTCTTTATGATATTTTGTAAGCAATTGCTAGCTCCCCGCCACTTTCTCCATTGACGGCCCCTATCGTTCAAGCAAAAGTCATTTGTTTTAGAACTCTTTTTGAGACTTGCGTGCTCCTGCTTTTTCGAGCACTAGCGCCGTCTTTTGTTTGTAATTACAACTCACATTACTCACAAAGGCTTTAAAGTTTTTTTTCTTCAGAATCCTTAAGGGTCCAGAGGGCATTACATACGGGTGCTGCTGTAAAATCAGTCAAACAAATATAAAACACAAAGCCACAATACTGTACAAAAACACGTAAAACACACTATGAATCATCATTACAACACATTCATAAACAATAGCCAAAAAAGTCAGCCAAAAAGGGTGCACTTTAACACATTCAGTGATAAAAAAAAAACAAAGCTCGAAAATGCCGACTACTACTACTAATAATATTAAAGAAAAATACAGCCTTAGACACAAGTGACTAAAGGAGTCAACGGGGAAAAAGGGAAGGGGGGAGAGGGGAGCTACAATTCAGTTTCAGTTCCAAGGAGTGAGAAGACTGCAGTCTGGAAGGCAGAAGATTTTGTTAAAGCGGCTATGCATGCAGGTTGCGAATTCCAATCCTTTATTGACAATAATAAGGGAGAGTTTTGGTATCTCACTTTTTATGCAAATATTGGTAAAACCTTCAGTGCATGTTCGGCACGGGTAATGTGATGCGCCGGCCGAGTATGAGAAGACGCGAATGATGAGTCACCGTAGTAAAGATAGTGAACGAATGATAAGCGAAAAAACTTTCTTCGGATGTCAAGATTTGAAAGGTTAAGAGACTGCTTGAGCGCAGACACGCTCCGATGGCGAGAGTATAGGACCTCAGGATGAATCTTGCAGCCATATTCTGTACTGACTCAAGAGTATAAGTTAGATTAGCTTGATGTGAATGCCATGCAGCTGAAGCATATTCTAACGTTGATCTGATTAAGGAGGTATACGTATGAAGCCTCATTTTTGCATAACTAAAGGCACGTTTCGCGCCTTTAGTTATATAATATATATGACTGTTACAACTTAAATCGGAATCAAAAAGACGCGTTAATATTTAAAGGACGGGACACCTTCAACCATGTTGTTATCTATTCTGTAAAAGCTGGATGGGATGCTTCAAAGTGTGGGAAAAGTCATATGTTTTGTCATATCTACGTTTATGTCCATTTGCCTCCGATAGCACCACTCGGACAACTTTGTTAAATCCGCCTGCAAAATGATAACGTCGTCATGGTTAGTTACCTGCCGGTAAACAACACAGTCGTCAACAAACTGTCGTATTAACGTGTCTATGTTATTCGCTTTGTCGTAATTGTATATTAAAAGCAGCGAGGGGACCAGCACGGACCCCTGAGGGACTCCCGATTTTACGCGCTTGCTATTAGATATGCACTGCTCGATGGAGACTGATTGAAAGTAGTTAGATAAGGACTCCCTAAGCCACCGAGTAGTACTACGGTCGAGTTGGAGGTTAGACACCTTATTAAGTGGACGTTTATGGGGCGCGAGATCAAAGGTCTTTGAGAAGTGAATGAAAATTGCTTCGGTGTAAAAGGACTTGTGTATGGTATCAAGAAGTTCGGTCACCAACTCAAATAATTGTGTTTGGCATAATCGTTTATACTGAAACCCGTGCTGATTCTCGAGCAGTAAGTTATTAGTGTTTTGGTGAATCATGATATAAATGTAAATATTATGTTCTATAATTTTGCAACACACAGAAGTAAGAGAAATGGGCCGATAATTGTTTGGACAGGTGTTGTTTCCCGATTTATATATAGGTATGACATGTGCACTTTTCCAGTCATCGGGCACGCAAGCTGTATCTAGTGACTGTTGGAACACTAAAGACAATACGAAAGATGATACATTGGACGTTAATTTTAGAAGCTTAGTACTGATGCCCTCAGGTCGTGGGCAGGAGTTGAGCGGAAGTCGATCGATGACATGAGCTACGCCATTGGGTGTGATTACGATAGGTACCATTTGATGAAAAATAATCGGGCGAGAAAGCGTGAGGGATTCATTCAGTGGGAACTCATCTGTAAATACTTCACTAAAATGTTTGTTGAACAGTTCAGCACGTTGTTCCATTGACATAGCTCGTCTGTCTTCACCCTTGAGTACAGGCACAGTAGACTTATCTTTTGAATTTACAACACGACATTTTTTTAGGGTGGGTTTTAAATCGATTGGGAAGCGAGTGAGTAAAATAATGATCTTTAGCTTCGCCAATTGCAGTTTCTCAAGCGATTTCCCCCCGAGCTATCGGCGTCTGAAGCGTTCCTTCCTGTACACATACTTCCCCGCGGTGTTTACTGAACGCGGTCGCCGGTGCGAGCCAGTCTTATGCGGTTAACTTCTTGCAGCAAAATGATTTGCGGTAAACTTGTTGAGTTGATAAAATCCCGCGCATTAAGTTTATATATATATATATATATATATAAAGTAATGAAGTCGCACTCCGAAACGTTGTTGGAGTTTTAAAACTCCAACAACGTTTCGAAGTGCGACTTCATTACGTTATAGTCTTCGGTATCCTACGCTATATTTTCTTTATCCCTCTCTCTCTCTATATATATATATTTATTTTTTTTGCATTTTGTTTGTGTATTTTTGATTTTTGCGTATATATATTGCTTGGTGAAAGTAAATTCTAGTACTTGATTTTTGTTTTTATCCCAGGCTTACACGACGAAAGGGTAGTCATCGACGCTAGAATATTCCTATAGAGATCATACATGTCCTCTAAGTCCAAGATGAGTGTTTAATATCTGTATGTTGAAAGAGACGTCTGCTGAACGTTTTATTTTGTCTTTCAACTTTTGTTAGGCGGGTTACTGATATTCCACCTAGATGTTAATAAATGTTACATAACTTCACCTCAGTGAAGCGCGGTGATTCTACTGGTTAAAGATTACTTACGATAAAACCAGTAAGTTTTAGCACATAGAACATGGCTTGGGTATACTTTAACAAGACGACTCGCACGCAGTCTTTAGAATGTGGAGTCTACAATAAGACTTTACAATAATTTGTAAATATTTATTCACCTAAAGAAAATTCATGGATGCGCTGTTAAGAACTTTAGCTTCGAAAGGTACAGTATTAGAAGAAAAAAAATCTTACCGTTCAGGTTGTTCTTCTGTAACGTACCATCTCGCTTTAATGACATCACATAGTTTTCAGACGTGAAAGTTAAAATAATAAAATTTGGTTTCCAGATTAAACTATTCCTATACACATTAATGCCTGAGCACCATGAATAATAAGCAACGAGTCCTTTCCATTGGCCAATGAGAACTCTGTAAGATGAATCATGGAGCAAAAATCGTCCACGCAGTAAGCCATGCTCTGTTATTCTTAAGCGGTCTTCGTCTACAATACGCATTAACCCTTCGCTTTTTTTTGTACGCGTGTGTGTGTGTGTTGAAAAGTGGGGTGGGCGGGGCAACGCTGCTTTTGCTGTAGCGATGCCCTTTGCAGGTACCGGTACACTCCCGAAGGTGAAGAAGTGCGTAGTTTCTTAGCACCAAATGCTTGAATTCATCGGACATGTCGTCGCGAAACGTATATTAAACTGTCTATCGATTATACTCGAAAGACCTGCCGTGCGTCTACAGGCTTGCGGCTGACCTTTCCCGTGGTATTGACGGCGGTATGGATGTCGTGTGTCGTAGCTTCAAAATGGCAGCCCACTTTATTATTGACGCGATTCTATCAGCACATATAAAAGTGCCGGGTTTCCTAAAGGACACGCGTTTACTGATTTCTTTTTATTCTCTTTATCGTTCGTGCGTATTTCCTGATTTTAACCGCCTGTAAGGGCTGAGAAATATTACCACGCGAAGCACTGGGCACAGTACGGAAGCGGAAGCGCATTACGAACAGACTGGGATAACACACGAGCTGACTTTCTGTCGATAATCGAAAAATGACATTAAAAGCCTCAAAAAAGCCCTTGTATAGTTGCTGATAGCTTAAAAAGCACGGATACATCAAAATATTTTTTTTTTATCCAAAACGATTGAAAACGATGCCTGGACATTACTCTCAAAATTCGAAACTTGGGAATTTCATCATTTATGAAGTAAAAAACACAATTTTCAAATGCCGAATTCGAAATTCCCGCGCGATCCACGCCAGTTCAGTGACGTCAAATATTGCAGAGTCCTGCGAGTCAACTTTCTTTCACGCCTCCGTTCCACGCTACAGACCGTCATACCGCCGTTGCCACCGCACCACCGCGACCCGAAGCGAGGAGGTGAGGAGTGGGAGAGAAGGGCGCCGGCGGACCGGGAAGAACCGGTTTCTTCGTCCGATTCCCCGACTCACCGTTCATCCTCTGCTATGTGCGTCGAACCCCGCCATGTTTTCCAAGGGAGGATACAAGTCCATGAGGCGACATCACAACGGGCTCCGATTTATGGTATTTCAAAAAGAAGGGCCGTAGTGCGTTCGCAAGTGCGTTAAAAACATGTTTTACGATTGCCGTTATTAAATGTCATCGAAATGTCGCCTTCAAAGCTTCTAAATTTTAGAATTTCTGACGTCACCAATCAAAAAAAAAAAAAAAAAAAGCGAGGAGGTGAGGAGCGGGAGAGAAAAAAGCCAAAATACAAAGGCGCGCGCGTGGGGAATTTTTTTTTTTCGCGATGCGGTATTTATTGGGGTGTCTATGAATACAACTTGCATCGTTCTAGACAATAAAAAAAGGTGCGAGCTTTAAGGTGTCAGTGCCCCTTTAACAATTGCAGCGCTTGACGCGTCGTGGTACCTTGATATTGTTCTCCGGCTAATCAGAATACGGTAATAGCCAATACGCACACGAAAGAACGAATCGCGAAGTGAAAAGCATGGGCAAATTAACCCACACCATGAATGCTAGTGCTGCCAGTGAGTATAGCTCGTTTACATAACATAAAAATCATTGCTCGCATCCTATAATTTCTACCTTTCAATTTGCGGGGCGAGGTCACCTCCGGTGCTGGATGGCACTCCCTGTGACACAGGGAATTCTCGAAACTGAAGTCACACCGACAGCTGAAGAATAGCGGGAACTGAATGTCTTGTTACCTTTAGGCTTTGTGCCTCGTGATTCCTTCCTTGGAGTTCTTATTTAAAATCGCATAATCTAATCGGCTACCGAGCGACGCTAAAACTCACAAAAATTAATCCAATGAAAACAACCTGGAAGCAATCATAACTTTACCGATAACATTCAAGCCACTTTATGTTGTAGATGTCTAAATGAATTTAATATTCATAAACCTAAACTCATTTTCTTCTGTTATTCAACCTTTCAACTTTACGAAAATTAAAAGCGCAAAGGACAAGGACAAGAGGGAGACAACACAGGACAAGCGCTTGTCCTGTGTTGTCTTTTCGTGCTTTTCGTAATGTTTAACCAACTAGGCCAACAAATCATTTTGCTACAACCTTTCAACACCTGCCGGTTTAAGCGCGCTGGAAGCGGAGCGCTCGTTTTATGTCGTAGCTTTGTCTCGGCAACACAAGCAGGCTACTTGGTGCGCGTGTGCCCCAGGGCAAAGTCTCAAAGTCTGTTGGGTCTCCATCATTAAGACTACGTCTTAGAACCAAAGAAGAAAAAGTAAGCATTGTCTGGTCCCGTTCTGGGAGCTGCTGTATTCCCGTTTGAGGACTTGGCTGGCAACACGTCGTATTTGCATCCATATTAGCCGGGCTTTTGTAAAACAACGCGCTAATTTATTCACTTTGTTGGCTTCCTGCTTTAGTTGGCTTCCTGCTGAAGATCCTCCTCTTTTATCTAGCAGACGTCGGGGTGTAGTTGACGTTTGGGTAACTTGTATATATTTACCCGAATAAGAAACAGACGTCAATATTGGGTAGACAGGAAGAGGTTGAATTAACTACTTGATTTCCGCTGCTGTTTACCGAGACCCTGCAATTCTGGATAGTTCGAACATGGCGAATACTTCTAGCCATAGTAAAGTAGTTAGTTGGGCGAGTTGGTAATGATTGAACATGGTTGAAATTGCGCACAAATAGAAAGGTACAGAGAAGAGGGAAGAGAGAAGAGACAAGCGCAAACTCACAACTCGATGTATTGATGGAAGAAAAAAGAACAGCCCTCGGTATCAGCTCGAGCCGAGGCCACACTCGCACGGGGGCACTCGAGCACGCGGAGGACACACACCATCAACCACACTCGAACGACTGTAGAAAGCCTATTTCCTTGTCGGTTAAAGCCACAGAAGGATGGCTGACACAACGCTCGCCTAAGCGGAGTATACTAAAGGCTTCAAAAATTTCGCGAGTGTGTTTTTCGGTGAATCTGCCAATTATCGAGGTCTTTTGTAAAGAAGGTGTACACTTACACGCTTGACAATGCAGAGGAAGGTGACCCCCCACTGTTGAATTTAGAGAAAGATTGTGGTCCCTTAACCGGTCATTAATACACCGTCCCGTCTGTCCTACGTAGGATCTGCCACAGGAAAGGGGAATGCTATAAAGCACTCTGGTTGAACAGGGCACGTAAGGGCGGACGTGTTTTGTGCGGCACCTGTGTTTTGTAATATTTTCTATTTTTGCTCGAACTTTAGAACAAATTTGACCCATTTTTTGGGGTGCTGACATCACTAAGGGGACACCGTACCTATTGGCTACCTGTTTAAGATTGTGAGATACTCTGTGTATATACGGAACCACCACCACTCTTTTTTTGTCGATATCACGTGCAGCTTTTTCGCATCCCTTTACTTTTTTTTATCAGAGTTCCTACCACTTCGGTTAGCACCTGCGCTGGAAAGCCAGACGCTGTAAGCCGCTCAATTTGAGCATTAAAACTGCTTTTGATGGTGTGGAGGCATGACTTCTTTAGGGCTGAAGTAAGGCAGGAAAGAGCTATGCCTCTCTTTACGACTTTTGAGTGCGAGGACGTATAGTTCAGTAAACCCTTTTTAGAACGGGGTGAAAATGACCAGCACAGGTGGTTTGTTAGCAAAGATAGAGAAAGGTCTAGAAATTGCAACACACCTTCCTTAGGAGTTTCACAGGTAAAAATAAGTCCTGAACCGCACTTGTGGAATATGTCCATGATGCTACTAATTACATTATTG